CGCTTCCTCCCTGCGCCGGGTAGTGCCGCGGGCCCGAGGAGCGGCCCGGGTCGGACGGCTGCCCCATCGGCCCGCGCCGCAGGGCCAGGCGCCGGCACTGCCTCCTGTGTGCCCGTATCAGGCCTCACCACGCGCAGCCAGTCCGGTGGGCTACCCAGAGTTGGCAGCAGGAGGCAGCTGGTGCCATGGCTCGCCTGAAGCTAAATTTTCAGACCCATGGTGGGGAGCCGGATAGCCTGGCTCTGTGGGCTGGGGGGTGAGCTCCCCTGCGTTGGGGTACTTAATGGGGTTAAGTAGAATAGGAAGGAAAATAGCACCGCTCCCCTCATTTGCTTAGGGGTCTAGGATAGGAAGAAGTTGCATTGCGGGTTGGGGGAGAAAATGTGAATTTTTTCCCCCAAGAAAAATCTTGCCTAACCACAGAAAGAGATTGATTGGGTCCATCTGATAAACCCCCTGGTTCATTTAATTTATTTTCAATTTGCAATTTTGCAGGGGGGGGAGAAAGAGCAGTTACACAGACAACCAATTTGGCTTTTCACTCCATGGTATGAAAATTGAACAGTAGAAATCTTGCTAATTGTGAAGTTCTAATAGAAAGGAAAGTGGAGTGCTTTAATAATTTGTTGCATTTTTATATTTGAAGAATAATTTTCTAAAGTTTTAAGAGAAGTAAACTGTAAATTTCCCTGTCTGTAATGGCATATTTGCAGTGTTAGTCACCGAGTTGATAGTGGGAGCCATCTAGAACGGGCTGCGTCTTTCCTCTTAATGGCCACCTTACAGGCCTGCAGCGCACTGCCCAAAACAGGAGAGCTGTAACTAGAATGTCGGTTGAGATTTAAGGAGTTAATCTCAATGCAATTTAAAGCTGAAAGAATGAGGGTGTATTCTTGCATCTCGGAGATGAGAAGGCAGATGTTTCCCTAAAATTTGATATACAAGCTGTGACTTGAAGTGGCTTCATGTTGTGCTTTCAAAAAAAATCCAGTGCTGTTAAAGATGAACTAATACGTTGATTTTAGTTTTATTGGGAATGCAATTGCTGATGCATTATTTGCCGTTTGTTTCAAGATGCATTTTTATTTTTCTGCAATTTGCATATATTTTATGAAATTGAGATGGATTTAATTAGGCAATATACTGAAGACACTATTGGAAAATAATTGATCGTTTTGAGTTATTTTCAGCCTTTCAAGTCTTCTGTATAATGATAAATTGGACAGCTGAAGAACCGTATCGATGCTGATGTCTTCATAAATCACTTTCATCAGCAGATGCACGTCCCAGTTCTAATGATAAATTACCCCTTTGTCACTGGGGAGCTTGGGCAGAGTGTTGTCCAGTGACTCTGACCATGTTTTTTCTATTTTGTCAGCACATACTTAAAAGCATTAGTTATCTTGGGAGTGCTTCCTATCAGAGTCTTGTCTTGGTAGTCTCTGAGGTAGCATAATTGTAACAAGATTATGGGAAGAGTGCTGACCTTGAATTGAACCTATAGGGAATGTACTATTGTGTTTACGTAGAAACCTGTGCTCAGAAAGCATGGGACATATAACCTTTAACCTTAGTTCATCTTTCATACTTGTCAAATCTCACTGGACCAAAAGAAAGGACAGCAGTGGTTACTCATTAGAAACATCATACCCTTCTAAAATCAATGATTTTGCATACTTATCTTCCTGACCACAACTCCTCCTTTTTATGGACAAAACACTAATGCCTTCCGTTTTAACTTTTTGTTATCTCCAAGTAAGTGTGATACTCGGCTTATCCTAGGACTTCAGTTACTGAAAATGGGTAGCGGTTTCATATTGTTGCAGTGTTGCTCTGCTGATATACTTATGGCTCATCTCCAAATAAACAATTTCTACTGCTGAGATTGTGGTGGAATTGTGAATAAGGAAAATGATAAGCTGTTGAATGTTTGAAGTACATGATGTGTGGATTTCTTTTATAAAGTAATGAGCAAAGTTGGTGAGTGGGTGCTTGTTTCCAATGGCTTCACAAGTCCTCTGCCTGAATTCCATTATACTGTTCTTTTGCAGACAGCAAGGTGTCATCACACGAGCTCTTGAAATCAAAACCGAGTATTTTTCATGTATTGTACATATGATACTTGGGGAGCTTTAGCAAGCTGGCAGCCAGGAAGCTTGTGTCCTATTAAAGCCATATGTAGGTCCTTGTAGATTTTGAAAAATTACTTTGCAAGTTCATCTCTTTGGAGGGAGGAGGGGAGAAAAGCAATGGATAAATCCCCACTTGTTATCCAGCAGTCCCTTTTTCAAGAATGAGAATTCTCTCTTAACATTCAGAAGTTACTTTAAAATATGCACCTGCATTTGGCAAATTATCATGCTTAAACTGATTTGCTGACCCAAGTAGCCTTATACAAGTCTCTTCTTAGCCTCAAGCTAGCCACCTCCCATGCAGCAGTAATTCTGTATCCTAAACAAGTAATTTTGGCAAAATAATAATTTCTTCTTTGTTGTTTACCAGGTGAGTGGTGTTTCCTTGTAAACTTACGAATCGGAGATGCCAGTACATAATACACCGAAGAATGAGGACTTTACCTAGGATTTCATGGTATGCATAGATTTTTATTTTTCTCCCTTAACATTACACATGAATATTGACTTGAGACTTAGGTGCTCAGACTTCAGAAAGCCCATGGAAAGTGTTTATAAGTTGCTGACCTGTAACTGTCACAAACTACCAAGCAATGTTACCACCTTACATTTCTCAATGTTGTAACTGCAGAGTGCTAGAAAATGAGTTGAGAAGTTTTTTAAAACTCCAGTGAAGGAGCAGTGGCCTCAAGCTTGAGCAGGAGGAATTTTGACTATGACAGAGAGCACTATGGAAACTATCTCCTTCCTTAGACATTTAAGAGCAGGTTAGAATTACACTTGCCTGGGATGATCCTGCCTTGCACAGGGGGCTGGACTAGATGATCCTGCAAGGTCCCTTCCAGGCCTACTTTCTTATGATCCTAAGGAGACATTACAGCTTCCTTGAGCAGTATTTTCCACTGTTCTACTATTCACAGTAAAAAAGTTTCACAGATTCACAGAAGTTTAGGACTGGAAGGGACCTCGTGAGATCATTGGGTCCAGCCTCCCTGCTCTGGGCAAGAAAGACTGCTGGGGTTTCCCTGTCCTCCTTCCTGCTCTGCCCCCCTGAATTTTAATTTAAATGCACTTTTTTGCACCTTAAATTCATTGCTTTATGTCATCTTGCCCTCTGCAGCAATGGAGAACAGTTGTTCTCCCTCTTCTGTGTGGCAACCTTTCAAACATTTGGAAACTGCTGTCATGTTCCCCTCAAATCTCCTTTGTCTCTAAACTAAAAAAAATACTACAGCTTGGATTCCAGCCATTTATCATCTGTCACTTGCTTCCAGATTATCTCCAATTTCTCCATGTCCTTCTTAAAGTGTGCAGTCTAAAACTATATAGTACTTCAGCTGAGGCTTAGCCAGTGTCAGGTGAAGAGGGGTTAGCATGATCTTCTGTCACTACACCTCTGTATAGTCACCTCTGTACACCTGTACAGTCCCAAAATTGCACTTGTTTTTTTAGAAATCAGAGGAAAGATTTTCAGGAACACTATATAGTTAATTTAGTTGGTTACAAATGAGAAACTAAGATCAGAACTTCATGCTGTCCATGTGCTAGTTGCACAGTACAAAACATTAGGTACACAAATGCCCAGCATATTGTGCCTCATTCACTACACAAAACCATTAATGTGCAAAATGAGACCCAGTCCATCACCCCCATCATAAGCTAGCAGAGTCCTCCAAAGAGAAAATAAGTAGTTGCCACACTGCAACTAGAAATGTGAAAGAGCTTCCATTCAGAAATAGTGCTAAAACCAACAGACAGCATAAGCTTTAACTCTAGTATAAATATTTATGTATAGTCTCAACGTGTGGCCTTATTTTTGAAGTGGGACTTGTTTTAGCACCAATGATTACTTATGTTTAGGATGCTAATTTTATGGCTTACAAAGCTATGACAATATTCAAATATTTTCCTTCTGTAAAATATTCATTTATCAGTCTTAAATAGTAATCATAAGCAGGAATTTACTTTGCTGGCATATAATGATGATTTCTTTGCCGTTTACCCAACTGATATGTTTGATGACTATCTGTATATCTGAGATGCCAGCCAAACTTGAAACAGCCAAATAACCTGATCAGCTTCTGTTATTTATGGACGTTTGATATTAATATTTTCTTGCAAACAGTGAGAATTGAGTCTCCTGTGATATCTTTACAAGTTCCATGCACTTCCTACAGCCATGATGTTGTGTCATCTGCTAAAGTCAGAAGAATGTGAGTATACTGCTTTTCTTAATGAAGATGTTAATACCAGCTCCTGTTAAAGAAGCCCAATCCTAAAGCGGTAGAAATACGCATAGTTCCATGAAGCATTGTGGATCACTACCAGTTGAGGGTCCAGCCTGTTGTTTAGCCAGCCAGGCCAGCAGCTTGGAAACTGTTCCCCCCACCCTTGCATCTGGCCCCAGTTGTTATAGTGGCCATTTTTGGTATGGCAATCTAAAGAGAGAAGTGAAGGCAAAACATTGCAGTAATTGTTGGGTCTTGCCTTCCTGTTGCAAAAGAATGAAATTCAGTCTTCTTGAATGTATGTATTATCCTAGAGCAGAGGCTTTGTCCAGAATGGCTTGTTACAAGTAATCTAAAAAGAAACAGCCACCTGTCATTCAGTCAGCACAGACAGAAGTAATACTACTGGCATAATGATGATTACCTCTTGCCGTTTACCCATCTGACAATATGTTGATGTGTAAGGTTGAATCTGAGATGCCAGAACAGCTTTGAATAAGCTAGGTAAATTTGTTTTTCCATTCAGTTCTAAAACTCAGTTCTAAATCTAGTTCCTTTTGGTGAAAAATAACATGTTTCTGTGATTTTTTTTTTTTTTTTTTTTTTTTTTTAATGCATTCACATGCTTTTGAAAATGCTCTTCATTAGATAAACTGTCCTGCTTTTCATAGTCAGCATGGAATTCATAAGATAATTTGATGTCTCTGTCAAGCTTTTGTGACACACACTCGCATGCTGAGGAGAATGAAACCTAGGGCACCTGAAGCTTCTTCTATACATTACAGGTATTGGAGGTTAAGTGGTTAATTGTGCAATTGCCTTAATATTAGAGATGTGAAGGGCCAGAAAGAAAACTTTTTCTTCCTGAGGACGACTTTTTTTTTTTTTTTTTTTTTTTTTAGGTTTTTTCCCTCCAAAATTGGAAAAATTGAAATTTTTGAAAAAATTAAAAACTCTTATGAAATATTTTCTTTTAGAATAATGAATAAAATGCTTAAGACAAGGTGTTCATGTATTGCTACCCTTTACTCCCAAAAAATAGTTATTAGAAAACATGCAATAGGAAGACTTTTATGTAAGCCTGTGTACAGCATCAGATCATTACAATTCCTGTACACCAAGGACAAGCACAAATGCAAGAGCAAGATGCATTTCTGCCCCCAGGGGGCACTGCCATTTTCACAAAAAAAGTATTCAGTGCCTTCTTTGCTTGTGGACTTCCTCTATTGTTGACTTTTGATCTAGAGGTTGGTGGATCTGCTCCTGTCCTCCTGACTAGGCCTTAAAGGATGGGGAGTGGACACTGGCAGCAGCATCTATTTGTTCCTGTATAAATTAGAAACAAGAAGCTTATTGCCCTGGTTGCTCAAAGGCCTCAGGAGATGAGACAGAGCAAGTCTAAAGGTTTTGGAGTTGGAAGGAACCTGCCTCCTCCTGGCCCTATGACCTTGAGATCCACAGAAGTACAGAAGCAGCACAAAGGAGCTAAAAGTATACTTTCAGACAGACTCTCCAACCACTAAAAAACATTTTTATTTTAAAGAAGCTTTATCTGCACTGTAATATGCTACTGGTGACTCCATTCTCCCACAAGTCACCTATCACTTTATATGGCTACACTGAAATTTTCATGTGGATTTAATACCACTTACCAAGCATCAAATAGTCATTGCATCCACAGAAATAATGTATCGCTCTTCCTTTAGTTTTAAACATAACTTCTTTTACCACATCTTGTTTTTCAGATATGTGAGGGTTACAGCAAGATTCCCCAGGATCGTGGTAGAAGTGGACACACGGCATATTTCCTTTTCTTTCTATTGCAAAGAATTTGCTTAAGTTGAGGCATGCTCAGATGTGTTTGGTATGCACTGACCTTGAGATTGAGGTTTATACCTGCATGGTCCACAAACAATTTTCATCTTCATGAAGATTCGTTAATAGACTTGCCATTTATTAGAGAGAGGTTTCCTACTATGTAGGGAATTGTATAGAACTCCCTTGAGACATTAGGCAAGATATTTCATGCCTATTTCACTTATTCGGATTGTAAGCTCTTTAGGGCAGAGACTGTCTAATTGTACTGTACGAACAAGGCTGTCTTAATTTTACTTTGGGCATCTAATTGCTCCTGGAATATCATCTGATCTCTACACCTGCCTGTATGTTTGACTGAAATTCAGATCTGCAAAAATACAGCATCTTTAGAGAAGTACTTTTGCTATCATGTAGGTAACTGAAAGAACTACAGCAACAACAAAGAGAAGACATAGATTTGCTAAAGCCATAACTGTAACCAACTCTAAGCTACCTATTTTATTTCACTTTGAAGGCATTTGACTGCAACTAACTTTTCAGAAATACTTTCAATCCTATTTCTCACTGCCCCAACACTTTGTATATTTTCCCTTAACCTTCCCAATAATCTTCTCCCTGTTAATACCCCTGGCTTTACTGGCATATTTAGACACAGAAAATGAGTGCAATAATGTCTAATCTCATGTCAGATATGACTTAATTTATCCCCAGGAGCAGCAGTTTCATAAAAAAAACCTAACTTTCCTGTACAATATCCATTTGTATCACTCAAAAATGTAAAACTACTTTTAAATACTTTAAGTCAAATCAATAAGCTAAAATAAGAACAGGTGCTTCAATTAAACACACTATTCTTCATTGGTGGTAGCATGTATGCCAGGCCCGTATGTGGCAATAAACTGTAACAGCTGTTGGTAGCACTGCCTGAGGTAAACATCTCTTTGCTGCAGGGAGCTCTCATCAGTGAGGTCAAATGGAAACACAGCGTTGGGAGCAACACAAAATATGGAGGCACCTACATATGGAAGATTTGAAATTAGAAGATTGTGTTAATAGATTTCATGCCTGTTACTAGAAAATCCTCCTTACCAGTTTGTTCATTTTGGTTACGTAGCAAGAAACACTAACAAAGGTATTAACTTAATAAAGGTTCTGATCCTTTCTTGGGAGGAGGGTTTGTGATATCTTTTAGCAGACCTGCTATATGGTTGAGAGAGATTTTTAGACAAGCTGGAGGACCTCATGCCCAAAAGCTTGCCTAAAATCTCTCTGAACTACGTCATTGGTCCAATAAATGATATAGCTCAAAAAAATAAAATCCTTGCCCCTTTCATATTTCCTAGACCATCACAGCTATGCTGTCACTACAATATCACTTCAACCCAGCCATGGTATACTCCATTCCTAAAACTTTTGTGAAACCAGAGATTGGATTTTTTTGTTTGTTTTAGGATTAATAATGGGCTATGAGCTTTTCAACACTTCTGGTTTGAATCTGCAGTTAGGCTAGACCAATCTATTTATAAATGCAGGGGATGGAGGTGGGTATTGGAAAGACACCCACTCAGGCCATGACATTCTTGAGACTGATCAATAATTAATAGGGTCAGTGCAGGCACAGGAGACTGTTCATGTTCACATGCTCCTCATTGGAGGCATGACACCCACAGCTAGAAATCCTAGCTGAAAAGGGTATTTTCCCTAGCCCAGATCAAAATGGCCCTTGGGAGCTGAAGAAATCTTGCAGCTTTCCACCTGAACAAAAGTTTGCAAAGCTTACTGGTGTACTAAAGAAAACAGTGATTTATATTTAAAATGGCTTGCTGTGGAGCTTTTAGTATAGAAATGTTATGAGATCAAGCTTTGGAGTCCAGCAGTGTTACTTTACCTGTATTTGTATTACCAATATCAAGAATGTCTTTGGTAGATCTACTGTCCCAGTTAGGTAATAAGGAATGAAAAAAGGAGGAATTCTATCTGAAAATAAGACTGCACCTTCTTCAGTCTTTATTCTCAAGTTGGAATTTCAGTTTGTTTTCTGCTCTATATCAAGCCAACTTCACTATTTTACACTTACCACTGAAACAGTGCCTTAGCTATGAAAACAAAATGAAATATCACCATCCAAATACAAGATATAAAAACAGCTCAAAGCTTAACAGTCTCTTCATATATTTGTTTAAAAATTATCCAAATATTTATTTATTTATTTTACAGAATTCATTTAGACCCAATAGTGTTAACAGCAAACACCTGTTAGTTAAAGCTGAAGTATTTTACCATGCTTTAATGTGAGAGAGGATTCAAGCAACAAGACAGCTATCAGTACATCTTCTTCAAGTACTTTCCTCCTCAAGCTCAACTTTGCATGTGCTTCAGACAGTGAAACTCTTGGAGACAAAAATGCCAATATCAGACATGATGCTGGCTAATTGTACAAAAAATAAAGCAAGGATTATTTCACTTTTTCAAACACTGCAATGGAATAAGTAAATGGCTAATTACTGTGGTGTGTGGATTGTCACTAAAGCTTAGATCACCTTGCTTTTCTGTACGTTATCGTGGCCACTTGAAATTATTCTAATGTGCCGCCAAATATGGAGTAGTGTGTTACACCACCGAGCAATAATTTGCTGTCACAGGTAAATATGTCAAGAAGAAATTCTTTATACATCACATGTCTTACAGCATTTTTAAATACAGGTTATATAACTAACATATACTGCAGTGCTCAGGTAGAGAGGTAAAGCTTAAGGGAACTGCAACAATCAGAACTTACGTTTCCTTTGGTTCTTAAATAAGAATTGTTTTAATGCCTGAAGAATGAGCAAATACTATGTTTTCTCTCATATGCCCTCTGTTTTCCCTCCCCAAAACAACTGGGGGGAAAGTGTCCTCATTATATGCAAAGAAAAGGGATCTGGAATTTTGGGGGTGTGGATAGGAGTAGTGCAATGGCAGCTTTAATTGCTGCTGCTCATGGAACTGGCAATTCCTGTTGCCACTGCTCTCCTTCCCCCCTCACCTCCCATCTCTGCTGCCTAATTTCCAGACCCAGAGGGAGCCCCTTGTCCCCAACTAAACACTGGATTGTGCCAATCCCTGGGGCTGGCCCATGGCTAGATCTGATGCATCAGGTGTGACCTAGCGCGTGCCCCAGACCTGATGTGCTGTTTCCGACCCCTCACAATGGCTTCAGAGTCCTGTGCTGGGTCTGGCCCTGTGTGCTGGACCTGGGGCGATGTGCTGAGTCCAGGAGTGCACTGGCTCAGGCCATGTGCCAGGTCAGGCCTGGACTCAGTGCACTAGAGCCCATGCCTGGGGTCAGACCTGGCACGTGGCTTGAGCTGGACCAGTGTACTGGGTTGGTTTCCAGACCCCATCTAGAATGTGAGGCTGGTAGCAGGGTGGTGGGCAGGCTCAGCTCCCTAGGTACTGCCTGTTATCTCAGTCAAAGAGCTTCCCTTTCTTCAGGCTCCCCTTCAAAATCAAGAGGCATTCCATACACGGGCACACTATTTGCAAGAAAATATGGTAAGTTTGAACAGACATTTAAATGGTTCTCAACCACTAATTTTGGCAGAAGTAGAACAAATGAATATTCCTGAATTATAAATATGAACTAGCATATACTTGCTATGAAAACAAAGTTTTGTATCCAAAGATTGCCAGGTTTTTATCAGTTGAAACACTGAGTTTCCATGAAGTGTCATCCCCCTTTAAGACATGGAAGAAGTAAGCAATTTAATATGAAAATTAAAACCTACAAGATTTTCAGCGCAGATGCTGATAGCGTCGATCCACGAATAGAATCTGTCCTGACTCTGCGACTTGCTAGGTAGTAGCCATGAATCAGTTTCTCTGCTTCTGGACCAAGTTCTACTTGCAAATTCTTAGCAAACGCAATTAACTAAAAGAGAGAGCATGAAATGTATAAGGAAAACTTTGCAAAAGGAAAGTATTTATCTCACTACATATAAAACAAGTTACAGGGCAGTAACGTACAGGCAGTCCTCGATTTACAATGTTTCAAGTTACAACATTTGTAAATTGACACCCTGTTTCAACTCTAAGGTCAGTTTTGACTTTACAACGATCAATTTGACCTGACGCCACGCCAGCGAACAAGTTTGCTGCAAACCCATCTCCCTGGAGAACGTGTCTAAACTTCTTTGGACACTTTCTTTAAGAAAGCAGACAAGAAATGTAGTAAATTGGCTTTTCTTTCACCTATTTCTATTTTTTAATATATTAAAAATAAGATTTACTATTTTGCTCATAGGCCTATTTATCTTTGTGCTCCATTAATACGTACCTGTGTTCTCTCGTGCCTGAAAGAACTCCTGAAAATAACAGAATAAAATATTTTGTTGTTGTTGTTGTTGTTGTTGTTGTTGTAATATAATTCCTGGAAGTCCTGAAGCTGTAGTTTTTGGAACAGGTAAGTATGGTACTACCCACACTAGATTAATGTTCAGAAAACACCCACTAATCCAGAGACAGGAAACTGATTTTATGGGTGTAATTAAAAGCAACTTTTGTTGGCTTCAGTGAGAGCATGATGAGGCACACAAGAGGAAACTAGTATTTGCAGTATACAGATCACCTTAAAAAGCCTCATCAAACCTCAAAGATTAGCACTAGATCATCAGATGAAAATCTTGTTCTGAATTATTTGTAGGAAGTTACCTCTTCATAATCTTGTGTTCTGAATTCCTGGGAAACTGTATAAAGGGCTTCTTCTGGATAAATGGCTTTCTTCAAGATGTGATGCATAAGAGGAAGAGCTAGTTGGCAAGAGTTTAATTCACTGCAGTGTATCAAAAGTCCAAAAGCATCTATAAGGTTAGCTGAAATGAAACTCAAGTCCTAAACAAAAAGATGCAAAGCAGCGTGAGATAATAAAGTCTCAACATAATCTTCGCCAATGAACAGGAAAAAAAATCTATTTACTCTGGACTCAGTGCAACTGTCATAGAAAACAAGAGCTTTAGTGCTCTATTTAATCTGAGAATAGGTCAGTACAAAAATCTTTTGAGGGAAACAAAAACTATTTTGAAAATTAAATAATCTTTATACAATGCAATCTACACTCAGGGAATCTACAATGTTCCAAACTTATGAATAAACCAACATTTCATATTTAGAGAAACAAACCTATTTTAGAGGATATCTGCCTTGAAGTGGTTTCACTGCAGCTTTTTAGGCAGTTCACCTTTTTGTTTTTGTTCCCACTTTCACAAGGAGAAGCAGCAAGATCCATCTACTATAGTGCAATTATTGCCATAACAAAGAACATGCCTTACCATCTGGCCAATAAGAGAGTTATCCTTTTGAACATGCTTTTTTGAGGAAGAATCCACATCGACAAAAGACCAGAAGCTGGTCTGAATTGGAAGAGTAACTTGTTGGTCAGCATCTTCTCCATATTTCTTTCCAGGAATGAATATTGTACTTGTTCTGCTCTCCAGCACTAAATCAAGCCAAACAATATTTACTTCTTTAAATGACAGCAGTTCAACTGCCAATCTCCAAACCCAAATGCAGAATCTCAGGATAGTCACAATTACATGGTATTCTTATTTTTACAGGGAAGTCAATCTCTTCCAAGCAACAAAAACAAAAATATAAGAGCAATTATAAAAAGGGAACATTGTTCATGCAAGGAAAAAAAACAAAAAAAAAACCGTACAAAGCAGGTTAAGATTATTACATAATTTGAAAACAATTCATCATATTGGGTGCTACTTGCATCAAAAGGCAAAATTTGGCTCAATATTAAAAAGTCTCAATTCAAAATTATATTACACTTAACATGTAAATAAACTACAACTGTGCTGGACAAAAGCTAAGTCAGACTACTAGCCAGGACTAAACTTTAAAAAGAAAAACCTAGCCCATTTTGCAAAAAAAACTGATAAAACTGGCACAGTTAGCTGGTATAAGGCAGCAGAACAATCCAGGCTACCAGTAATCTAACTAGCCACTGCTCTGCCTGGATGTTAAACAGAATCCAGGTAAGGCTATATTGATTTGTTCAAATTGAAAGAGCTGCGAGAGAGACAACTGTGCATCTCATTTCAAGAGTCAGCTTCTCCTGAAACAAACTATATTGTCACTATATGGTAAAATTTGCTTAGCTTCTATCAGCTCACAAATACAATTTGAGGGATAATTGTGTAAAGACTTTCCATTGTTGGGACTTGTATCCTGCATAAGACAGTTTTCTAGGACTCTAATACGCTATGCAGTTCTCCTGTTATAAACAATCCATATGCCTTACTTTTGAAAGATCTGTCCACATAGAAATCTCATTAACCTTCCTCAGCTCTATATTAACAGCCACTTTTTTTCCCCCTCCTTGTCTGGCAGGTCAGATTCTCTGGCACTAAAGACTGTTACTTTCTCAACAGGTAAGAAGAAATGCTGACTTCCAAGAGCATTTGGGAGTAGGTTGCTGACAGGATTTACAGGGTCTCTTAGACAAAGTTGCATGTGTTAGGTCCCAGATCTAGTAAGGGACTTCTAGGTGTCACAAGTGCTGAGTCTTGCAATGCCTTATTTCAGTGCGAGACTCCTGTAATGGAGTCCTGAGCCCTGCTGAGGCTGAGGTGCTTCTGGGCCAGTACAAAATCACATCTGTAGTTGCCAGAGGAACTTTTACGTTGAGCACAAACAAGCCCAGAGGTGGAGAGTGACCAAGTAAGGGGTTTGAAGAATGCAGTTTTGAATTTAGACATTGAAATTCCTTAGTGGACCTACACCCACCTTCCTTAGAAGCTGGATAATCTTAACAGTTTAAACATACGAACTTAACTGCCATTTACTGGGTCAGACCATAGGTCCATCTTGCCCAGTTCCCTGTCACACAGTGGCAGAGGTAGAAACGGAGAGCTGATCTAATAAAAGGTATCATATCATGGCGCATCTTTGAGAACTCCTGGTGCTCTGGTGAAGTGCCTGAAGATTGGAAGAAGGCCATTGTGGTGCCTATCTTCAAGAAAGGGAGGAAAGTGGATCTGGCAAACTACAGGCCCATCAGCCTGACCTCTATCCCAGGGAAGGTCTTAGAAAAGATTATTAAAGAGGCCATTCTCAACAGACTGGCCGATGGCAACATCCTGAGATAACCAGCACGTGTTTGTTGCGGGTAGGTCTTGTTTGACCAATCTTATCTCCTTTTACGATCAGGTGACCTATCACCTGGACAAGGGAGAGGAGATTGACATCATATATCCTGACTTTAAAAAAGCCTTCAGTCTGGTATCCTATGATCACCCCTTGGCAACACTGGCCAATTGCGGCCTCGGGTCCACCACGATCTGCTGGCTGGGAAATTGGCTCCGTGATCCAACTCAGAGGGTGGTGGTTGACGGAAGTTGATCGTCATGGTGCCCTGTGACCAGTGGGGTCCCCCAAGGCTCTGTCCTTGGACCTATATTGTTCAACATCTTCATTAATGATGTGGACATTGGAGCCAAAAGCGGACTGGCCAAGTTCACCAATGATACCAAACTCTGGGGTAAAGCATCCACACCTGAGGACAGGAGGGCGATCCAGGCTGACCTTGACAGGCTCAAGAATTGGGTGGACAAGAACCTGATGGTGTTCAACACCAAAAAATACAAGGTTCTCCACCTTGGGAGGAAAAACCTGCAGCATCCTTATAGGCTCAGCAGTGCTACACTGGTTAGCACTACGGTTGAAAGGGACTTGGGGGTCATGATTGACCACAAGATGAATATGAGCCTTCAATGTGATGCTGCGGCCAGTAAAGCAAGCAAAACACTGGCTTGCATCCATAGATGCTTCTCAAGCAAATCCCGGAACGTCATTCTCCTGTTGTACTCGACCTTGGTGAGGCCGCAGCTAGAGTACTGTGTCCAGTTTTGGGCTCCACAATTCAAAAAAGATGTGGAGAAGCTTGAGAGAGTCCAGAGCAGAGCCACGTGCATAATCAGAGGTCAGGAAAACAGACCTTACGACGACAGGCTGAGAGCTATGGGGCTCTTTAGCCTGGAAAAGCGCAGGCTCAGGGGCGATCTAGTGGCCACTTATAAGTTTATCAGGGGTGTTCACCAGGATCTGGAGGAACGATTGTTCACCGGAGCGTCCCAAGGGATGACAAGGTCAAATGGTTATAAAATCCAGCAAGACTGTTTCAGGCTGGACATAAGGAAGAATTTCTTCACTGTCCGAGCCCCCAAGGTCTGGAATAGCCTGCCACCGGACGTGGTTCATGCACCTACATTGAATGCCTTCAAGATAAATTTGGATGCTTATCTTGCTGGGATCCTAGCCAACTTCCTGCCCCTTGGGCAGGGGGCTGGACTCAATCTTCTGAGGTCCCTTCCAGCCCTAATGTCTATGAAATCTACCCAAAGATCCTTGCCTGCCCAAGTCCTTAGACCAACACGGCTACAACCAAAAACCCTGGGTATGACTAGGGTTTTTTCCACTGTTCCTCTCTCACTTTCAGCCTCCAGCATTTATGATCTCTAGGATGTTCTGATTCAGAGGCTAGGCAATAGCTACTAATGGCCCTTTCTTCCAAGAATGTTTTCAATACATCTTTTGAGTCTGGTTAAACTGTCAGCTTCCACAACACCTGGTGGCAGTAAGTTCCACATTTTAATTACACGCTGTGTGAAAAAAACTTCCCTTTGTTAGTTTTAAATTTACTACCTATTAGTTTCATTTTGTGACCCTAGTTCTTGTATTGTGAGAAATAGTAAATAACAAATCACTATTTACTTTCTCATCACCATTTAGTATTGTGTAAACCTACATGGTTCTGCTCGTCCCTGCTTGCCTCTCCTATGCAGCCCTCAGACTGTAAGTTCTCCTCTCACACTGGTAAAAAGACACTTTGCATCTATTGAGAGATTACCTGACTGCAGAAGTTCAAGTTTATCTTTCTTGTATGAAGACAGTTCTCCGATGAAGCATACACCGCCTTTAGCCACCAAAGCACTGCAAGCCTGAATACTAGCAGTTCCAGTTCCATGCTTATCTTTACACACAGTAGGAAAAATGTTGCTAGATGGTGGGTGTCGTATGCCCCGAGGCACAAGGCAAATGCTATAATTCAAAAGCCTGGGAAATAAAGTAGTTGTCAACAATTTTCAATATCTGCTGTTCAGTTACTGTTTTACCTTTGCAAAAGCAATAATATATTACTATTCCATAATAACACTGTATTTAAAGTCTCAGAACTAAAAAGAACAAAGGTTGCTCTACATCTTTTAAATGAAGTATCAGTTAGAAAGGGAAAAATGGAACAAAATCAAATCTTTTTATAGGAGTTTAAAATATTTCTGAGCCCAGAGTTAAAATCTACAGTTTCTTGCACATGACTGTGAAAGGGACATTTATTTGGAAACAGTTATTCCAATTTATCTTTAATAGTTCCTTTCTAGTTTCACTGACTACACAAAGAACGATAAGCTTTTAATTCTATTTGCATTGGTCTAACACAGATAGCAAAATTTGGGCTGTAGAATGAATAGTTTTAGGGTAATTCAACCCCAAGTTTATAATGTTGATCCTGCCCCACGAAATTCCACCTGAACTTTTCCATTGACTTCAAAAGGAGCAAGATCAAGTTTCTACTGAAAGAGTTCTCCTGGCCATTTTGTTAGAAATGTGGAAAGGCCTGCAGATCTACATAGTTGTGGAACTGAAAGCTCTGCCCCTGCTTTCATCCACTTCATCCCCCAGTGCTTCCCCTTGATATGGGTGAGGGGCCTGGGCTCAGGATACCCCTGTGAGTGAGCATCTCAAATTGTGCCTCCCCCATTCAAGGGAACCCTGTGAATTCTGCTATGCTGAAGGTTCCTGGTGTCTGTACAAGGTGAGGGCAGGATACGTTCTAGTATTAATAAACAGCATGCTATGACGGTACAGTAAATGTGAACAGCGTGCTACGACAGGACAGTAAATGTGAATCAGGAGTCTAATGGCATGTGAAACAAAAGGGTAGCTCCGTATACAAAAGCATGAGGAGAGAGTTTCGGTTTTTATCTTAGATACTTTATCTTCCTGCCTATATTTATCTAATACAGATAGCAAGTAAGCTCCCTTAGGGCTGGGCTGTAAAGTACTACATGCAAGTACAAGATGTTACAAAAATATCAATTAGCATATTCCTATTTTTATTATTAAACAGATGTTTTTGTTCTCTTTATCACTTGCTGTTAAATCACCGGAAAACAGATCCTTCCTGTTTTAATCTTTCCATGCTTGACTTCTGTCTGCATGTTTTTAAGTCTGTTCTAGTTTTAACCCTTTATCAAAGGGTAAATGTAAAAAGATACAACTGAAATGACTGAACAAAAAGTTGATACTTGCCAGGTTTGTATCCTTTTCTGATGAAAGAAATATAACCAGACTTGGGGAGAAAAAGTGATTTTAAAACTGCACAGTGGAAAATATGCTCCATTAATTTTTGCATAATTGCAAAGGTATTGCAGATGCTCTACAGGACAACAGGATGTGTCTGAAGAGATGACTATGCTAGGGGTTTTTTTGTCTAAGATTTCCTATACCTGCAACCATCAGTTCAGCTCTACCAGTGATAGCAAGAGTGGGCATGCTGGTGTATAAAGCTAGTGTTTTTAATCACTGTCAACTGCCCAGGTCAAAAAACAAAACAAAAAGTCCTATAGCGATAAAAATGCCAGCAGCAATTCAGACCTTGCTCCCACTGTTCAGTAACTTAACTAGTAAACATCAGGACAAAAAGCCTGTCAAAAAACAAAACAAAAAATGCTATCAGCAAATTGACATTAGGCTGAGAGGCGCGCCTGTAGCCATAGCTTGTCCTTCTTGATTTCAGAAAGTTGTCATTTGGTGTCTGCTAAGTGGGTCCAGTCTTAAAAACTTGGTAAGATAGACTGCCTATTCAAATCTTTATTTATTAAAAGCCAAATTTTAAATCTAACCCATGGACTTACATGCAGTAATGGCATTTCCGCCATTTTCCTCTCCCACCAGTATAATAGTGAGTAGACAAACTGATGAAAAACACAAAGAGGATTCAAGATTATACAAAAATGTGGGGGTTTTTTGTGTATTAATAAGCCAACATTATCCTTCCGGTATAATGATTTTTTAAATTATTATTATTTCAAGTTCATGTTATTTGTAAAACAATAAATTAATTAAGTTACCTGTCTACTATTAGAGTGTCACTTGTTGCAATCAAAAGATCCAGATAACCTGCTGTCTCAGTATCTTCATCACATGTCTGTACTAGACTCAGCAACATAGACAGCTTGAGAGTATTGTAAGTGCCTGGTGGAACAACTTGAGAAGCAAATATATTGGCAAGTATGGCTGAAAACCTCCAGCATGAATTTGAAGTCAGTGAAAGCAGGTACTTAAAATTGTCACTGATATGAGAAGGATCTAGTAGAAACAAAGTATATCTTTTTAATAGACATATTCCTAAAACTGAAACATTAGCATTGGATGGATTACATCACAGAAGTTCTTCTAGCAGAGAACTTAATGAAGAACTAGATGCTTTTTGGATTTACAAAAATTCAGACTCTAACAAGGTAATCATCTGTTTTTAGCCATTTAAATTTACTGTAAAACACTCTTACCTTTGGGAGTATAGAGCTGTATACTGCTGACCTCTATACATACTGTAGTTTGTGGGCCATTTTGTACGCAAGCTGGAATTCCTATAAACCTGTATCTGTTTCCTATTTTTACTTTGTTGGACAATTCATCTAGAAAGAAAATATACCCATGGAAATATGGAGATTTATTAGAAAATCCAAAGCTTTAAAGGTTGGAGAATGTGAGTAGAAAGCATTTTTTAATATTTTAAAATAATGGTTGAGATCAGAAAAACAATTTATTTGGAAATAAACAATAGGGCTATTTCAGCTCAACCACAGGAGTTAGGAATGCACCTATACAGAAAATTCTAACTTTTAGGGCACCAGGTAAATGATAGATTAGATGAGTTAATTCAAGAATTCTCTTTTGAGTACACAGATGCTGCTGTTATCTTTGCTTGTACACTCAAATTTTGCTCTGAGATTTGTAGCGTTGCTGTCAGTGACAACCCTGTAAATGTGATGGCAAAATACCTTGGGTAAGGGGAGGATCCAGAATAAACAGACTAGAAGACAATGCAAAAATATGCACATGTAATGTTTCCCACAAATGTGATGGTTCCCAAAAATATTTCATTCAAAAATCAATGCCCCCTTTTGGTGTTTTTGCTGTGTAATGTAATAATGAGGCTGAGCCTGTGAGATGCTATATGCCCTCAAAATCCATTGAAGTCTGTGGAACAGACAGTATTCATTACTTCCCAGTATCTGATCCAAAAGTTCTATTTTGTAACCATGGGTGTGCAACATTAGCATTTAGCTGTGTGGTTCATGATTAAAAATAAATTTACAAAATAGAAATAAAAAAAATATGTAGATGCTGGATAACAAATACCAAAGCAGAATTTAAAATTAAAATAAGAGCACCAGAAAAACATCTTCTTATAAAAATAAATTAGATCTTTTATATCTAAATAAATTAATGTTGTTTATTGTTTGTGATAGAAGTTAGAAACCCCAAAAAACAGAGATCATGGGGAAAAATCCTTTAAGAAAATAACTAGATTGAGGAAGGATGTTACAAAAACACTGTCCTAATGTGATACAACATGACCAAAGGAAGTAGAAAGGAGGAAGAAAGAAACAACAGAGATCAGCAATCTAATTTTTGCTATTTGTTAAAAAAGGAACACGAATAACTCACAGTCTCATAGTGAGGAACATTAACATACAGCTTACTTACCTCTTAGAAAAACTGTAAAAGACTGAATCCTGAAATGTGGCTTATTGTTGAAGTATGCTTGAAAAGCTCTAAGAGCCTTTGCATCAATCATTTCAACCAACTGTTTATCTTTCAAAACAAAGACGTAGAAAATTACATTACTTAGGAGAGGTACTTTGCTGCGTCTCAAAATAACTTAAGTACATAGAAATGTAACGGAAGTAAAAATATAAGTGTGAATTAGAAATAAAATGATGCAGTTCTCACCACCAAGTACTCTAAATTTCATGTCCTCATGCAGTGGTGAGGTGCACAAGCTGCACACAAAATCATTCCTCACTGTGGCAGACTCTGTAGCTCCAGGTAGATGTACTCTTATATATTTAAATCCTAATAAAAAGCATTCAATCAGTTCTTCATATTTTGTCATAAATTTCCAACACAAGTCAAGTTACTTAAAACCCCCAACTGATTTTGAATGTAGCTTAATGTGTGTCAAGTATAAGCTCTGAAAACATCCTTGTAATTTAAAAATAGGACACAACCTTCATTAGAGTGAGGAGTATAGTTAAAATATTGAACTGGAAATCAGGAGTTCTCAAATTGTATGCTTCCGAAATACTTTTGTCTCATGTTCAATGCTTCCTGGAACCTACTCTGCTGCTACCTAAGTTATGGTATCTTTATTTTTTTTTATTATAGTTTCAACACTGGATGGCAGAACTACATATTAACCTGCTGGCCTGACTGAGAAAAAACGAGACAAGAGCAAATTCCTATGAATGGCATAAAAAAATAGATGGGGTCTCCAAGTTTATATCCAAATACTGGAAATCAATTTTGCTTTACACCTGTGTAGTCTCTAATGTTGTAAATAGAAACAAAACAAAACACTTAGGGCTTGTTCCATCAGAGACTTCAACACCAAAATAACTTTACTCAGAGCAATTATCCCAGGAAAAACAGTCCTAGACCAGAATGGATTTCTTCACAGTAATCCAGTCAGTCCATATTAGTAGGAGTGCAACACTAGCCAGGTCTACTCTGGAAACAGTTGCCAGGAGATGAATGTCCTTTAGGAGTTGAAGGTGTGATTCTTTACCGTATTTTTACACTGACAGAGAACCCCACCACAGACATACAAAAAATACCAGGAAAAAAGTCCTTTTGCTATCAGAGTCTATTTTAGGGGTGTTTAACCCTGAAAACTTGTGGTAGGACAGGTGCCACAAGTGGCATAGGCAGCGTGGGTGTGTGGATGCAGCAGATAGGGAGGGGACAGACCAGGGAACAGACAGTACAGTAACAGATTAGGCAGGGAGAATGAGGCAGGGAGCAGAAAGCGGAACAGCAGATCAGGCAGAACAGGGCAAGGAACAGAAAACAAAGCAGCAGCTTGAGTAGGGGAAGGGGATTGGAGTGGCACTAGGGAGGGTTCCAAGCCCATTTGTAGCATGCCTGCCTGAAAGGTTGGCCTCCACCAGCTTATTTCTTTCATGGGACTCAGGAAAAGAGTAGTTTAGTTGATATGAATTTGCTTTCATCAAGGGGTTTGCTGCTTTAAATAAACCATCAAGAACTTTCCAGTATAGACCTGGGTACTGAAAAGTTGTCTTATTCTACCTACATTAGAACTGTCCTTGGCATACATTTCCTCTACATAAATTAGATTAAAATTTAATATTAATTTACAATTCTCCCTATAGCATTTTCTTAAATTGTTAATCTAAGAAATGAGTTAATGAACTAATCAAGAGAACCTTTTGAATCTAGTACTTCTTTCCTTTTACATTTCTTTACCTTCAGAAAACGGACAGCTGTCTTCCGAGCAAAGGAATCTTGCTCCTTGAGTATATTTTGTTACCATTCCCATTGCAATCACTATTCCCTCCAACATGTAAAATCTCTGAGACACGTAATTGAATGGAAACTCATGAAGACTGAGGACATAACTTGGCAGAGAAGGTAAGTGTGTTGGTTTCAGCACTATGCTAATCTAATAAGAGAGACAGAGTTGCATTTAAAAAAAAAAATATGGGGCACACTTGCATGTACAAACTCTATGTGGCAGATTAGTGTGTCCCTGGACTTGAGTATACACTAATAAGTTAAAAAGAGCAGAAGCATATTTATCTACTGGATCATAATCAGAATAGGTCTGGATAAAAATTGCTGAGTATTTTTACATATATTGGGCAAAATATTGGACCAAAGTGAAAGTGAAAAATGAAAACTGAAAAAGTTAATACCAATCCTTCTACCCCCTTTGTAAATACAAGTTAATAGTGCTTTAGAAATTATCTGTGTAGCCAAACAAATTAGCAAATTCACCTGGGCCTCTGTCTGTAATTGTTCAATTAATGACAGGGTTTTAACAGCTATGAAACACACCTGTAATTGAAAATAAAAAAAATATTTTGCAGAGGAAAACTTGGTTTAAAATATTTAGTACGTTTGGCTTTTGTGAAGTTGTACATTACTTACTGACTGAAAAATCTGTGCAGCTTTTAGGGGTTCATGCAAAATTTGATTTCCAAGAGCTGCATCCAATTCAGTAATGTCAGAAGGGTTTACTGAAATTATGAATCGATAAACAGCATAACTTTGCTTTGAGTCTGTAGAAGAACAGAGAAGTCTCTCAAAGCACATGAATTTAAAATAATGTTTGCTTAGTTTATCAATATGCATAGAAAAAATTACTGAATCCACGGTACCATTATAGTGTTTGCAATCATCCACCAATTTCTGAAGGCCACCACTCCTATCAAGGTAAATAAGGGCAACCTCCTTCATTTTCAGAAGTTCTGGATTCATCTTCTAGGGAAGTTTTTTGCTCGCCTGTTAAAAGGTAAATGACTATAAATCATCAGTGAGAGAACTGGCAGTGGACATCAGGAATGCTATAATAATAAAAGTAAGGATAGAAACACATATAACAAGTACATCATGCCCCTAAAAATGAAACTAGGAAACTAAAACAAAATACTGCCACCTTCAATCACGCTATATAACCAATGCAGTTCCTTTAGAAAGATTTTTGTTTAAATAGCCTTTAAAATGGAAAGTCTCTTGCATTCAAAGAATTCAAATGTTATATTACACTGTTAATATAAATTATCAGCTAATAATAAACCTATTTTTAAAACCTGGAGAGACTAGAAAGGCTCTAAAGCAGAAGATTTTGACTAATAGTTACAACCATTATACAAAAAAAAAAAAACCACAGTATTTCTTCGCAATAACTAGGCCATGACTAATTTGAAGAGCCAGTAATAATCAGTCACAAGTTTCATACCAAATGAAACTCAACATCGGATGAACAAATATTAATCAATATCCTGCTCTGTTCTCATTTCCTATATGTTGCCTAATTTAGAGACTGATCTTACACATAATATTAAGCACGAACATAAAGTATGTTTTTGAGTAATAGCAAGGTTAGTTAGTAAATCTTTTGCTGGACCAAATACAGTTGGGAGAGATATTAGATAAGCTTTTCTATACAAAATGGATTTCTTTAGGACTGGGAAAAAAGAGGATGCATCTTAAACTAAATACCAGGGAAATGAATCACTTACATTTAACTGAAGTTAAGAACATGCATACATTTTTCAAGACAATGATAGGCGTTTGCAAGCCCCATAGGAGAAGGTGTTTATACTCTTCATTTGGTTTATATTATCCACAAATATATTATACCAATACATTATATATAACCAGAACAACATAAAGAGGAAATAACTTTCAAGTATTCAGATCACAAAAGCTCTACTGGATCTTCAGCTTTCAGCCACCTGGTAGCTTAAGGTAGTCAGACCAGGCAGTTATGGGCTTAGAGTAAGCCTGCTCTAGAAGTGCCTTTTCTCTATTCAAATATGCATCCAGGTCCACTAATGTTATAGTCTGATTTTCACAGAAATGTCAACAGGCTTAATAGGATAAAGAGAAGTGATCTATTCTGAACACTAATGTATTTATTTTTATTAAGACATTACAGCAAGTAGCACTTGCTGTAATGAAGTTTACACTAAAATTTGGAGTACTTTTGTACATATATTTAAGGTTGCTACCTTACAGATCTCCTAGACCAGACACGTAATATATATGGCCCAAAGGTAGGATCTGACCCACAGGGTTTTTAGATGGATTGGAAATTTGGGAGCAGGGCCTGTCACCAAACCCTGGGGCATGGAGCTTAGTTGGAGATGTGTTTTGGCAGCGGAGGACGAGCAACAGCTGCATTAACCCCTGTACCTCCCTGATGCTGCTTGCTCCACCACTGCCTTTACAGCAGAGTCCTGCAGTCCACATCCGGTCCAGGGGCCCAAACCAGTTTGATGATGCTGCTGTAGACAATGAAATGCACCCTGTGCAGACTGCCAAATTGGGACACTACTTAAATTCTCCAAAAAAAACTAGGGTCAGCTGTTGGCTCCAAGGACAGAATCTGTGGGCTTGTCAGAGGGTAAAGCTGTACAGTGGAAAACCCTCTGTAATACCTGTGGATCTAGAGAAGAAAAAAAAATACAGTTATTTTAAGATGAGATTAGGTACAACAGTGTTCTGTGGATGTTGTGGATATGAAGAAAAGGCATGAAATATGAGAGACTGCAAAAGGCACAGCGCATGAGGAACTGGGAATTGCTGTCACGTGAACTGCAAAGGCTGCTCTGGTCCTTAAAACCTCAAGAAAAATGGATGACGTTCAGCTGAATTTGAGTCATGCACATCATTTTAACTACACCCATGTGCAGCACCACCACCGCAGCCTGCGCTGCCCACGCAGAGCTTCTTCCCCTGCATGCGGGCACCGCACAGCTGCAGGGGGGTAGGGAGGAGGAAGAAACATGGGAACAGGGCTGGGCTACAGCCTGAAGAGAAACAGGTAGGTTGTTCCCAGGTATGTGCTGTGCAAACACCAAGCAGCTTGTCCCCTTCACAGTTGCTGCTGGCCCCAAACACTGACCGTGCCACACGGCCACCTCAACCCCCGCTTCACAGAAGGTAGGATCCAAGACAGCGAAGAAGAGCCTGGGACAGCGCTGCCACAGGGAAAACTAGAACAGGCTGAGAGAAAACCGCCTCCCCTCCCCACACTGGCACCTCACCCCTAGACGGGAGGGGTACTGAGGCACCAGGCTGCCCTCCCCCTCATGCCAGAGCAGGAGCAGCTTGCAGGCCTGGCACCGTAGCGCCCCCACCACAGGTGGCCCAGAGGTGTAGCTGCAAATTAAAAACAATGGTCTCCCGCCCACAGGCCACAGGGATGATGAGCCATCATGCACTACAGGCGACACTAAATTTTCCACTTCCTGTCAACTTCAGTTTTAATTTCTTGGCTTTGAGCAACAACGGAGGATCTTGCAGGCAGCACAGTGCTCACGGGCTATAGCCAGAGGCCAGTGCTCTAGGATGCTTGGGGCAGGGGGAGGAAGGCGGTGGCATCAGCCCAACCATTCATGAGACACAAGGACCTACTCCAGGGTCCCCCTCACACGGTTATGCAGAGGCCACCTTGTCTGACATCCAGCCTAGAACATCCCATCACACACTGGCATCTCCTGGGTCCTGGCAAAAACCCACCATCACACCTCTGCTGGCATGACAAACACCATCTTCTCCTCACAATGCACAAAAGTATGTCCATCCTATGGAGGCGCTTCTCCCTAGGCCTTGCCTTTTTCTTTTCTTTTTTTTTTTAAATATTCCACACACAAATTCACCCACCTCCTCATCCAAGCACTTTCACGTGCCACGTGCTGGATAATAAGAGAGGACACCATGGCCACGTCCAGATGAGTGTTGATGTTTGGTTCCCTGGAGAGAACTAGCAACGGGACACCTTGTGCTGCTGCTGGTTGACCCAGGTGAACACCGGTGCCACGTGCTCTCTGGTGCACAGCAGGTTCTCTCAGCGGGGGGGGCAGCCTTACCTGGGGGCCTGGGGAAGCTGCAGCCATGGTGCTCCTGCAGATGGGAGCCTGGCCAGCAGCCAGAGCAAGGCTCCAGTTTTGGGCAGCGTGTGCTGCCGCCATATGCGCCGCCCAGCTTTTTTTCCCCTCACATGGGTTTTTTTTTTTGACCCCGGGATATCCTGGGGTCAACCCCCCTGCCACGCACTGAAAGGTAGCAGTGTGGGGAATGCGTGAATGTGCAGTGTGAGGCACCACATACCACACGACTGCACTCATCTGGACATGACCTGTGGGTGTAAAACTTTGCATTAAGCAGAATGCATGAGACAACCATTTCTCACTGTTCTGCTTCTTCCCCATGCCAAAGCAACAGGTCCATGAATAAGTAGTGTGGTGAGCATCATCCCCAGCTTCCTCTATGGTCCCAAAGGCAAAGGGCCCATTGGGTGCTCTCCCCAGAAAAAGAGAAGGGAAGGAGGACCCAACATTAGTAGGTCCCAAAGGCAAGCTCTCTCAAGAAGGGAACAGCAGATTGATTTATGGTAGTTGCGCTCAACTTTTCGTTCCCACAGGCCAGATGAGTGGTATGGGGCCACTCCACGGGCCTGATCCAACACAGGTTTGACATACAGGGGTGTGACATTACATGACAGGAAATGATTTGGAAAAATTAGCAGCTGGGGAGTAGCAATTAACACTGCCACTACTCTACTGAAGACAAATTTCTCAGAAGGAAGGGGAGGTGGTGGTGGTGAAGGACACTGGGCTTTCTAAAGTTAAAGGTGAGGCCTAAATGTTAGGCTAGATCACATTTTTGACACTCACTTTGCACCTGTACCTAAGCTATTTGTTGGAGGGACCCTTAGAGGTTGCTGGAGACCAAGACAAGATGATTAGCTGCCCTGTGAATAGCACTACTAGCACCAAGGCTGATCCCCCTACATATAGCAAGAAAGTTGGTTATGAAATTATTGTATATACAAAGAAACCCCACTACTTTAGCAATACTACTCTAGAGCTTTAAGCATTTTTCCTTATATAGTTAGTTCTTTTTTAGCTAGAAAATGTAACAGCATTACAACAGCCAGCTGGATCATTTTGGAGATTACACACACTTAAGAGGAAAAACAATGAAATGAGTGACAGGAAAGGAAATGTCCAAAGGCCAGATTCCATTCCGAGGACTTTTGTTGTGGTTAACCTGAATTTCCAAATCTACATGAAAGTTGAAAGGTAGCACTTGGATTGCTGTAAAGCATGCTATGGTTGGGCAGCATGTAGCTCAGGGAAGGGCAAAATGCAGCCCGCGGGCTGGATGCAGCCCACCAGGCCATTCTATCCGGCCCGTGGGGCCCCTGAAAAATTTCGAAAATTAATATTTATCTACCCCTGGCTGCCTGTCATGCAGCCCTCGATGGCTTGCCAAAACTCAGTAAGCGGCCCTCCACCCGAAATAATTGCCCGTCCCTGCTGTAGCTGGAGTTAGTCATACAATTCCTCCAGGAAGAGCACACACCAACTGCTGAAACTTCCTTAGCCTGACGAAGGGTTTTTGAACCCGATAGCTTGCTTAATAAATATTCTCCAACTATTTGGGTTGGTCTAATAAAAGATATCAAATTCACCCAAGGAACCTTGTCTGCCTATGTCCTTAGACCAACACGGCTACAACCTAAACCCCTCATACAATTCTTGGCACTTATAGCATATTTGTATATGCAAAATACTTGATATCAAATTAGTCTTTCAAAAGGTGTGAAGAAATCCCAATAGGGGTGTGTGAAACAGGCCATATTTGATTTGGATTTGGATTCAGCCTGAATCAGGGACAGTGATTCGATTCATTGATTCAGATCACTGTCCCCAATTTGATTTGGCTGAAACTGAATCTGAAGATTTGATGCTGATTCAGAGAATCAGCGATTCGACCATAGACACAGCTTTAAATGTTTTTAAACTTTAAATACCTCAAGATACCAGGTGCAGCTCGTGAATGCTGAGATGCTGGGGCAGGTGGAGCACCCCACAGGAGGGCAGGGGGGAGGACACGGACAGACCTGCACGCTCAACCTGAAAGTGGACCAGAAGTACTTCCAGGTCCGCTGCTGAACACGCTGGCAGCCTCCCTGCACCTCGCCAGCTCGGCAATCGGCTGTGGGGGGGGACCCCAGGTGCCCCTCCCAGGCCCAGACCCAGGAGGCACCAGTTGCCGAGCCAGGGAGGCATGGGGGGCCCCCCCAGCGCACTCCCCAGTCGACCCAGAAGTGGACCGGAAGCACTTCTGTGCCCTGCACTCCATCCACCCCACCATCTCAGCATTCACGAGCCACCTAGTACCTTGAAGTATGTAGAAAAAACATTTAAAGCTGTGTCTATATCCAAATCTGTTAAAGCTGTGTCTATTGTTGAATCTTTCCAAATTGATTCGGAGGGTTCCAATTCAATTCAGAGAGATTAAAGATTTTCCTGATTCGATTTGGAGATTCAGCCACTGAATCAGGCGAAATCGAATCAGTGACTGAAGCTTCGCACAGCCCTAAATCCCAATACATGGCAGGAAGCTTTCCATTTTTTTTTTTTTTTAATTTTTTTTTTTTTTTTAATAAAGATGTGTGTAAAACCAGGAAAGATGAGCTTGCTGCTGTATTTGACCATCCTTTATAACTTTAGAGAGAAACTATTTCTATAGTTACAGCTTATCCACTGTGACAGACCTGACTATGTAGCTGCTTGCTTCTCCACTTTTTCACATTCTTCTTCTCCAATTCTTCACATTCAGCTGCATCCTCTTCTAGATTGATACAATGCTACAAAATCCACCAAAATTAAGTTTCAGAAGCGTAGGCTATACAAGGCCACTAAGAAAAATCTTAAGAGTTAACTAGAGATTAAAATCAGTAGAATTATATACGATTCCTCCACTTCTCCCTCCTTCCCACCAGTACCATTTCAATTATCCGCTCTTGCTGACACTGTGTCAGTTTGTCAATATCCAGTTCATCACTGTGCAAGTAGGGGAGAATTCTTGCTTCAAGCTTCAGTTCTGAGTTCTGCAACTTCCCTATACAGTAGTCTAAAAAAGAACTATTTTTAATTACACAAGTGTTTCTTTTATTGGCTCATGTTTTGTTAAAAATGCAACTTGTGTCACCTCTAAACAACAAGCATTTCAAGTGTCTCTGATGATAAACTCCAAGTATGGCTTGTCATTTCCATTGAAAAGCATTAATTTATAACTAAGTTACTGAGACACTGAAATGCATTTGTGAATAAAACCACACATTTAGTGGCAGACAAAAACAACTTGTTATATACAGATAACATAGATCACAAAACAATATTATAGGAAACTACATTACAACTGGAATCAGATTCCAAGTTGTGCTCCATGTGTTTTGTTTTGTTTTTTAAAGTCTCAAACAAGTTGGTCAGCGTTAGCATTTCATTTGTGTGTGTGTATGTCACAAGCAGCACACACCATGTACAGCATATATATTTTCACATTACTGAAATAATTGAAAAGGTAGTTTAATAGCTATTTTCCCCCAAGTATCAAGTGAAGATCCAAGAGTTGGTACATATTAAAATAGAGAAAGACAAAACAACTATGAATATTGGTACAATTAATTTGGAATATATTAGTATTTCAAATACATACAAGAAATTAAACAAACCTAATTTTTGGCACCATTTATTTCCCTTCTATAGGGCATAAGCAAGATTGCCTTCAAAAGGTAGCAATAAATTATTGCCCAACAAATCTTTGGAAAAAATATTTTTTTTTAACCAAGAATATTTTTTTAATGCTGATAAATTTGTCAATAAGATGTTTCACCATAGAAAAGGTGAGTTATAGACAGTGCAATTAGTAATGTTCCCAAACCTTTAGGGTTAGTTTGTGCCAGCCTGTTTTGTGAACAGTCCTTTACACCTCAAAATGTATTACTTCCACAGTAAGGTAATGATGAATATAAGTAAGGTGATAAAGAAGTCTTAAGTGAGCAACTTTTCATTCTGTAGGAATCCTTGCAGTTAAATGAGGAATTAAAATTTAAGGTAAGTGCTGTCAAGTAATGAACTTGCATTTTAAAAAAATTGATGAAACATGGAAAACATTTATCTTTTTTCAACAAATGATGTACAAAAGACAGTTGCATAGTTACAATTCAAGCACATAAGTCACTGTAAATAATTACAAAGGCATTTATAAGTGTGCTAAGTTTGCTGCTACTAAAGACAGCCAAATCCTGGAGAGGCATTAAATGTAAACCTGGAGGAAAACAGTCAGTCAGTGTTCTTGCTTAAAAACAGATCAATGTAAGGAACAGCTTCTAAAGAACTTTTTTAAAATATACTATGCAGCTGGAGTAACAGTTTACATCCTAAAGAAAGCCATTCAAAATGCCCAATTTTCTCATATACAGCAGAGCAAATCTGTTCCTAAGTTTTAACCCTACATATAAAATGAGGCACTAGGGTACACATATTTTGGAATATGTTTACGCCCTAACATTTTCGTTCATCTTATGATCTGTATTTGTGAGGCATTTACCGATTCCTAACCTCCTAAGAAAACAAGTCTTCAGAAGGTGGTGCATAAGAAAATCCGACAAATGCATCATCTGCTTCCAGTACACTGGCATTTACAAAATGATAGTCCGAGGAGATGCAAACCGAATACGGAACCATTTCTTCTGTAAATACTGCATCAAAATTCCTGATATCATCTGGGCCAACCTAAGAAAAATAATAAACAAACAATTATTAGGCAGAAGGCAGACAGAGTAGTAGCTTATAAACTAACTCACTGAGAGAGAGTACAGCTTACTTCATCAGATGCTATGAATGGATTTGTAGAGAGCAATTATTAGTTATATTAACATGGCATTTCTATTTTTAAGTAGTTTTTTTAGGAAGCACAGATTATTAGATTTCAACTTAAAAGTTAAATCCTCCCATAAATGAAAAGAGCAGCAGTCCCTAAAAATGCCTATAAAGTTTTTGCTTTGAACTATATTGCAGGCCAAAAACCTGGAGTGATTACTTTTAAAGTAGGACAAACCAAAGTCTGTTAAACAATTTCAGAAGAAAAAAAAAAGTGCTGCTTCCTAAAGCTTTGGAAGAGAAACACAAAAAAGTACAGAAACCATGTGCTCCTTTTTATTTTCATCTTTGAATATTTTAAAGCAATACTACTGAGAATAGTTTCTTACAACAGCACTAACTTCCAGACAGAATAAATATTAATAACAACAGTATGGCCCATGTGTTCCTGGATGTCATAGTTGAACCTCTGAATCAAGAGAGATGATTCTATTTTAGACTTAGTATTGGCAAATAGAAGAGCTAGTCATAGAAACAAACTTGATCCAAGGTTGATCATGGATCATAGTGAAAGATAAAGTAAGCCTGAATTTATGGTTTTGTTTCAAAGAATATAAAGTCCTTAAGTCCGTAAACTCTTCTATCTAGTCAACTACAAAATGCAGGAGGTTTGGAATTTCTTGAAAGCAAAGGTGCAAGAACTGAGTACATAACCAAAGCAGCGAGAAAAAAAATCTGAAAGAAGGGTTCCAGAGATAAATGGATTATTAGTATCTCCCAAAAAGGATATTAGCAACAGAGTTCCTATAAGGAATGGATGGAGGGGTGGGCAGGAAGGGTAGGAGGAACAAGCAAGATACAAATCTTGGATGTCAAAGTGTGTGGGTAAAATAAGAATAGGGGGAAAAATCATAAACAAAAATACCACAAAAATATATTAGATTTTATGAATACCCCAAACATACAATCCCCCTTTCCATATAGTAAAAGATGTTGTGGCCATACAAATAAGAAAAATAGGACAATTTTTGCAGCAATGGTGGAGTAAAGGCAGGATAACTAAGGGGAACAGAGAAGCAGAAACTATTCCACTCAGGGAACTTAATGAGCTCAAGTTGGGGACATCCAGATCTGCCAGACACGGAAAGATTGGCTTACAAAAATCACAGGACTGGCCGCCAGGATTTTAAAATAATTATTTCAAAATGGGGCATAGAATAGGAAAAAAAAATTACCTGTAATTAGGGGAAGTGTGATCTAGAGAGACTACATGATCTTCAGTGGCACTGCAGTTATACTTGCAGCGCTTCAGAACAGATTGAGGTACATAGATTTAATGAGAAGGGGAGGTAAATTACATAAGGTAAATTGAAAATTAAATTAAATGAAGCATGGTTTTACCAGACAAACCCAATCCCTTTCTGTGATAAGGTAACAGATTTTCTATATCAGTGATTCTCACTGAGGATGCTGCAGTGCCCTGGGATGCCTTGGAATCCTTTTAAGGGTGTTGCACAATATTACCACTATTACAAGTGCAGATAAACCCAGAGATTTCAAATTGATATCCATAGTACTAGATATAGTCTGACCTGCTGTGGTCTCTCTCAGTTCATTAAAATGGAAGAATCGCTCTATTGTTTGTCTGTAGTCAAAAACAAGTGAAAACTAAGAGCTGGCATTTTCCAAAGAGTGCCTTGAATCTAATGAGGGGTGTTGAGTCTAGAAAGGTTGAGAACCACTGCTCTAAATAAAGAACATGCAGAAGATCTATATTACATGAACTTCAGTTTAAAAAAACCCAAAAAGACAAACAAAGAAACATATGCACATACACAATAACTTAAATAACTGATAGTGTCACATGGGAAATTATTAGTTAAGATGGGAAGATAAATTATTGGGAAAAAACCCATAAAATGAATAATGAACTGAGTAAGAGGAAAGAGGATGATGGGCTATAAAAATAGAGGAAGTAAAAGTCTGGAGGGAGACTACAACTGGAGTTCCTCAAAGATTGGCCTTGCTAATTAGGCTTGGGCGTTACTAACTGGAGACAACTAAGGAGGTGAAAGACAGGCATATTACTTGATTGCAGGGTCAAGACACCAATACAGCCTGAAAGGAAAATAAAATGGAGGTGTAGGTAATGTATTACAAGTAGCAGCAGGGAATTACCAGTGCTTTGGAACAGTGAAGGCCAACCCTTCTGGCAGGTGTGCCACAAATTAAGCCCCAAGCCCTTCTGCAAATGATACTCCAATTCTCTTCCTGTGCCCTGCCTGCTACTCTTTCTGTTCCCTGTCCTGTGCTCCCTACCCAATCTCTTTGCCTTCTGATCTCTGCATCTGCCCCCAATCTGCAGTGGGCCGCATACACAGATTGCCTGTAACCTCTGGTTGCATCTGTGCCACAGGTTGGCCACCCCTGTACTAAGGCACTAGCATAAATTGTTAGTATGTAGCGTTTTAATCCTGGAGACCCTTATTCAGGGGAGTAATTCAAATCTGGAAAGAAAAGGGGTACTAGGATGATTTGTAGTGGTGATGGACAGCTTAACAGTTTGGCTTAATCATTTTAACAAAACAAGGACTAACGAGTTTCTTTAAAAATTGTCACAAAATTAAAACCAAGCACAAAAAAAATGTTATTAAGCTAAAAAAACCATTGTTGACTCAAGAAGAACAGGAATAAACTGACTATGGGTGCATTTAAACCAGGGTCGGGCAATTATTTCGGGTGAAGGGTCTCTTACCCATTTTTAGCAAGCTGTCGAGGGCCACATGGGTAGCTCCACCCCTTGACAGGTGCCCCGCTCCCTGGTCACCATCTTGGGACCAATGTCCCAATGTCTCAGGGCCAGCAACGGTGGGGCCCAGAGCGGGGTGCAGGCTGGCATGTGGAGCCAGGCTGGGCTGCACCAGCGGGGAGAGGGGGGAGCTGGCCCAGCTCCATAGAGCCCCTGCGGACCGGGACCCTGTAACTCCTGCCACCCAGCTCTGGGCCCTGCCGGCACCGGTGTGGGCCCCGTGCCCCCGCTCACTCCCAGTGCCCCCCAGCCCCAGGGTACAGGCGGGGGCAGCG